AAAAAAATCGAAAATCGGATATACGTAACCCGCGGAAATTCAAAATTCGCGATACTTTTTGAACAGACCTCGTATATATATATATACTTTATTAATAATTTTAAAACTACATATATATGTGTGTATGTATATATTAATATTAATAACGTTTATGATATACCTAAACAATTTCCTCTTTTTCTTACATTATATCATAAAAATAAAAATATAAATTTATGTAAAGCCTGCGGCACACGATGCTTGTTTTCCTATTGGATTGCTAGCTGGATTAGAATTTTGCTACTGTATCGGCTGCAATGCTCGCACTGACAGCATCGGTAATCTAATACGGTGGCAAGATTCTAATCTAGCTAGCAATCCAGCAGAAAAACAAGCATCGTGTGCTGCAGGCTTAAGATTACCAGATTTGGTTGCCGCTATTATGCTTACAATAAGTTATATTGAGGTTAGGTGTGACGACGGAGAAGTAATTACACTTGTAACGATACACATAATCCTATATTTATGTATTTCAATTATTACTTGCAAAAAATATATGTTAAGACGTTAATATAACTGTAAGATATTGTTTATAAAATAAGAATTCTATAGAAATAGTTAAAATTATGATATGGTGAGCAGATTGAATAATATTGAATATAACATTTAATATATCACTGATTTATTTTACTTTTGGCTATGACAAACCAAAAAAATTTTTTATTTCTGAAAATATGCTATTCAATCTGAAATAACTTATTGCAACATAACTGTAATATTTTTACGGAAGTACTATATTTTTATGCAATGTTGTCGTTTGTAGTAAGTGTAACAACATTAAGGTGTTTTTTATTGCTGCTCAAATATACGTTTATTTCACTTCAACTTATTATACCGTGTGCACTAGTTCAGAGAGTGCAACAATAAGAAACAGACTTGTCTTATGTATCAACTATCTCCGCGGTCTCCCCTAATTATACAGTTTAGCACCTCGCAGCTCAAAAATTAATAAAATTAAGCTTATTCGACGCGATTTTGTATGAAACGAAAGAATCTGAAAGAAATAAGAAATAAGAAATTTTTATTCATTTGCAATGTTGTAATAATACAATTGTTAAAAATTGTATTATTACAACATTACAAATGAATAAAAATTTTTGCATATATACTGATTCGATTAATGTACGAAGGACTTGATAAATATAAGGTTATGTTTTTTAATCATTTCGAAATTTGTTTGACATTATTTCGTTACACATGCATTAACAATATTATATCTAAAGTATTAAAATATTTGAAAAGTTATATGATGTAATTATGTCACTTACTGTTAACGATTTGTAATTTTACCAAAGATGACCACTGATGTAGACATGTTCCATCACAAGAGATCGATGCGTAATGTGATCGATACGGCATATAGATACGCCAAAACATTGTGCATTGACATACGACTACGACTCACGATTCGCGACTCGGTTACAACCATTATTGTGCTGAGGCCCTAATGCATGGTCTACAATGGGCAGTAGCAATAGTAGATTAAGAAATAGGCATAGAAATCGACCAATGACAGTTAATTATCCTTCTCACATTCGATATGATATTTGTTGATTTCTACGTTTACTCTTTAATCCTTACTGTTACTGCCCATTGTAGACGCATAAAGGGTCCTGTATATAGAAGTCGTAGACGTGGAATCTTAAGTCGTAGGAAACTGATCAATTCTAATCGAGTATTCTCCTTATATTTGATAGTGATTGGTTGATTTCCTACGATTTAAAACTCCACGACCATCTACGACTTCTATATAGAGGACCCTTTACTCAGATAACATTACGTCCAAAATACGGACATAAGACATCTTTAAGATAGTTCAAGACATCTTATGTCCGCATTTTAGACGTAATATTGTCTGAGTTTAAGTATACCAGAATTTTTTCTTGAAATGATAGAAGAAGAAATTCTTAATTAGTATGAGTTTGGCTATAACAGGTATCAGAACGAAAAAAACTGAAAATTTAAAAAATGACGTTATGTTGAAATTAAGTTTCGATTTTTGCAATTTTTTTTCACCAAAATAATTATAAAAATTACAAACAAATATATTTCGTAAAAATATTAGAAAGTGGCTAAACAATTACAAAATATAAATAATAAAGAGCATACAGCCACAACAATAGATGTAAAAATGAGTCATATATTAAAAATTCACAAATAAATGAATAAGTGGACGTTTCGGTCAAGATTTGACCATCATCAGTACATAAAAGATAAGACAAATAATAAAAATATTACAAACAAGAAACAATTAACAGTAGTCAGAAGGTGTTACAATAAAATCAAATTATTGAAAAGAATACATAAAGTACAAGCGCAAAGTTCGCAAATTAAAACAAGGTGAAATAGTGTTTTCCCTTCGCTTGTTGTAAAAGTTGAACATAGTAAATCGTGAGTATAAATCAAGAGAGATGAGTGATATTTTAATCTTATGATACAATGCTCTGTTACAATTCCTGTTATCTTAAAGAGTGAAGCGCAAAATTCGTGTAAAAATACGGAATTTCCTAGTTCTATTAAATCAAAAAAACAAAAAAGAATTTATTAAAAATTTTTTTTTATATATATTATATCAATACCAAACACTTCCAAGTTCATAATATACAAATATAATAGGAGGGGATAACTCATCCTAATAGTGGATAACTATTAAGATGAGGATAATGATTGAACTAACGAAAGATATCCATCGGAAAGTGATTCCGTGTGATTATTTTATTTAATCCTTGCGTCTGTTTCTTTATAAAGGCCAGCTTCGAAAACGTTTTGTTTTATTATTAATTTTTAAATATTAAATTGAATTGTAGCAACGAACATCTAGCTATGCTCGTAGCCCTTTTATTATTTATTTGTTTTAATTTTAATTATTTGAGTCCTTTTAATCTTCCTTATTTTAAATATAAACATATGTAATTAATTACTTTGATATTATTAATAATATAATTGTAGAAAATAAATATTTTTTATATCTCTGTGTATAGAAATCATGTATGTATTTTATCACAGGCTTATGACAAAAGTTAGCAATAATATTTTAAGTCTTGAATATAAATATACTCTTTCTCTCTCTCTCTCTCTCTCTCTCTCTCTCTCTCTCTCTCTCTCTCTCTCTCTCCGTCCCCCCTCTCTCTCTCCCTCTTCGAACCATTTTTACTTCACATATCTTGAAAAAACTTTTTATATCAAAAATTTGAACATTAATCTTTTTTCTTACAGATGGGCGACATTAAATATTATGGTAAAAGAAGAAGTATTGTAAGGAGAATTGGATCTTTTTTACCATTGAAGCCCCCGCCAAAAATATATGTCAGTGTGACACCATTACACTTGATGACAAATTCTATGATTAATGAGGAAACTAGTAGCAATTATATTGATACAAATGGATATCCCATAAGGTCGGTACATTGTTTTGTTAAGTTACGAGTGTCTCAACCACCGTACAACACTTTCATAGTGTATTCTAGAGGTAAAATAAAATAAAAAGTGTTAATATGAAAATGGAATTACAATAGTTTTTGAATTATAGCCGATCAAAGATAGTAGTATATCGCTAGATAATTCTTGCGTTCAGTTACGGGATTCTCTAAACATTTTATCAACAATTGTCGCTATCGTTAATTGATGACAGCCAATGACAAAACTATCCTGAAAAAAAGCATGGCACTCATTGACTGTCACTAGTTAATAATAAGACGCCTTAAGGATGGGTCAAAGTTGGAAGTTTCGAAAAATATAATATTCTAAGTTCATGAATTTAATTAATCTCAAATGTGACTGTGCGCCGAAACGTTCGGATAGTCGCGAATATAATCCCCCCTTTATTTCAAATAAGAAACTTTTGAATAAATATATTAGAATATTAAAGGATAAACTATTTAAATGGTCAAATGTAGTGTACAAAATTGAATGTAAAGATTGTGATGCGTCATACGTAGGCCAAACGAAGAATGTTAAAAACACGAATAAAAGAATATAAGAACCAGATTGTAGCGGCTTAAAAACATCACTAATCGAGTTGTCGGAACGTACGCGCGATCCGCGCTGCCCTTGAGTCGCTCGTCCGATGCCGCGTTTGACCCTGACCGAGCGTCCGTCCAGCGCGATTTCCGCCGCAGGAGAGCCACGCGGCATAGCAGTAACCCGCGCGAGAATGGTTCACCATTCCCCCACCAAGAATGGTTCACCATTCATAGAAGGGCTCTGCGGGAGGTCTTCAATATCTTCTCACTAAAGTTAGAATGAGCTCGACAAGGGCCTCTACTCTAGTATCAGACATATCATTGTGAAGTGAGTCCCCTCGGACACGTTATCTCACAAAATGAGCTTACTCTCGGGCCTTTGCATTTTCTCACGAAGCGAGATCGTTACCGGGCTTTCGCAAAACAGAACGAGCCCCATTCGGGCCTCTGCGGTAATTACTTCCTAGCAACGAGAAGCGTACACACTGCCACGGAAGCATCGGACCGCTCCGGTCCCCCTCGCACAGAGGGACTATCGACGGAGAAGACGGAAAAATTATAACGGCGCATAGATTGAATTCA